ACACCAGACAAAGACAAGGTTTTACCGACAATGGTTTGCCTCGCTGTATATTTGGCAGCCCTATTTTACCTTCTCCTTTGATATTAAAGTCATGGCTCATTCATTGTGGGGGAAATCGCTATATTATTACAATATTTTCAAAAGCCCGGAAGGATACAGACCAAATTCAATACCCCTGCAGTTTGTCAGCAAATGTGCAATGTTTGCACAATTCTCCTTTTTCATCAAATACGAACTACAACCTCGGGGCGTAAAGACATTTGGTGTTAACTGCCTTTTGTTCCGGCGAGCACAAGTCAGTGTGTCTGTTTTTACATATGATTTATTACATACTCATTTAGACGTGCTGATGGATTCTTACAAAGGATTTCACGTGTCATCTTACTCTGATTAATAACACATATAATACATGCAAGTAGAGATCAGTGTAATTGGTGATTTAGCAGACATGTCAGGACTCTACAGTTTGCATGTTAGGAGAACTTTTCCCTTAATGTGATCTTTTTGTTTTAAAGAGCCGTCAATGAGCATATTTTCACAGATTAGGGAAGCAAAGCAAGAAAACGAAAGAAAAAAATGAATACAAATATGTGGAAACGTGAATATTAGAATAATAAGGTATGAATATGCACTTCAATCACATCAAAGAAATACTACTTTTATATGTGGCATGTATACATGTACTCCATACGCATACACATTTATTACACGTACACACGCTATCATGTACACTTATATGTGCACAATACAAAAATATACATATGTAATTATTTGTGCACTTGTGCAGACATTATTTACCCATGCATATTATATGATGATTGTGTGATTTTATGCATGCATACATGTATGCAGTACCATAAAAAACAAATATATTGTAAGACATCAAGAACTAGAGGCATTTCTTTTCTTTCCAGCCCTTTGCGTTATTCTCCAGTTGACTTCTTATGTTCTCAGTGCGGGAAATTGATTCCTTACATCGACTTATGATGCCTTACATTGTAGGAATGTGTGCCACTGATAATTATTCTCAAACCATTCTTGCTGCGATGTTGTTGGGAAAGTGCATGAGCAAACTTTCATGAAACTGCATCAGCACTGTGGCTTTTTGAGATAATTTGCTAATGGGAAACTCAGATCAGTGGCTATAGGAATACCTCACCCACAAAACCACCCTTTATATATCAATTATTCATGCCGTGTTACCTTGAATTTGTAAAGAAAGCTTTGTTTTTCTCACATGCCTCTGGTGAAAGGAGAATCCAAAAAGTGGCAAACATTGTCGATTAATTGAAGTAAATGGGGACCACGTTTAACAAGAGCAAAACATCTGTTTACAAAATCTCACAGAATATAACAAGACTTAAAGTGAAAGCACTGATCAGTTTCCCTTTCAGTCCCAATCAGAACGGGCTGAAGTCAAGGCAATGCAACATGTTTGGGAAACACTGAGCATACCACTGGATAAACAAGACTTGGATTTTACTGCACAGGTTGTGTGAGACTTTGTAAACAGATTGTTTAATATGGTTTTGCTATTGTTAAACATGACCCCCATTAACTTCAGTTAATCAACAGCATTTGCCCTTTTTGGATTCTTCGTTTATTGGAGGCATGCTAAAATAAACAAACTTTTCTTCACAAATCCAAATCACTTTTTTTGCATTTGTTTTAATACATAATTTGATAATTCGTTATGTATTTATTATATTTCACAGTCTGAGTTCATCCTGGTTGCAATAAAGATAAAGCTGACAGTTGGCAAGTTGTTTATGTTGCCACCCCACTGTCAACTAAATGTGACCAAACCACACACTAACATCCCTAATGAAGCAAATTCGCTAAGTTCATAATGCAACACATTCTCACTCCGACCTTGTCACACATTAAAGGCCGTAATATACTTGCTGCAAACAACGCAAACGTGACCGCGTCATGGCAGCCATGCGTGATCTGTGTTCGTTTGACGCGTTGAACGCACATCTCAACGTGAGGTACCGCAACGCATGCGCAAAATGCAATATTCCTGACTACTAGAGGCGCTGGTGCGATTGCACACAGTGACCCGACCGGATGATCAGACCAGACCCTTCTTCTTCTTCTCATCAGATTCTTCACGATTTCCGGGTTATATTTCTGTTGTCTGCCCAAGTGGTGACCGCTAGTATTGTGCATTTTGGCTGCATAGTCCTGCGTACACAATGCGTTGTGTGAAATTCAGAGATTATGACGGACACAGTTATCAACGTGGAGGTGGCTGAGCTGGCGGCTAATGGCTAAAGGGTAACTCCATAAAGGGTGTTAAACAACAGCAACAGTGCTGACGGAGCTAATGGTGTTTACAAGGGGTGGGGACCAGAGGGTGGGTGCGACGCTTCCAGGACGCCACCATCCTGTTATGAGCGGTAACCAATGTATGAGCATAGCGCAATGATACATGTACTGACATGCATGGATTAAAACACACAAAGATACACACATTGGCTGCTCAGAACGCCATTACTCCACTACATCTTTACATAACAAATACTTGTTTTGCGCTTCTTCAATGCTCTGAATGTCACACACAACATCTTTAAAAATAGTAGATAAGGATGAAACTTTAACTTTGATTCTTGTTTGTTTAGTCATAAATATACAAAGTTATTGATAATTTCTTGCAAGAATTTTTGTGCAGTAGTATCACTGAGGTGCATAATTCAGAGGGTGATACAGTGAAATCTGTATGGTAAAACTCATTCACCTCTGCTCTCAAAGAGGATCCTGTGATGTACCAAAGAAATAAAAAATCACAGAATGTTCAAACAGGTTTAATACTGTATGTCAAAACATTCAGTTTGCAAATTTTGTTCCTCAATGGGCTGTCATCCATGACAAACTATTGCACCTTAACAACATCCCCTCAATCCACTGGTGCATGTCAGACCTGCTGACAACAAACATTGTGTAGCAGTGACCCTATTTTGCATTACCCCTCCCCTTTGTGAGTGCAGGTTCATCACAGGGATGAGTAATCTCACTCGTGCCTTGGTCCCTGCACCACCGATTACGCCTCTAATCATCTGTCCATCAAACTACCTTAACTGAGCAAAAACATGACCAGTCTTGTGGACCACATTATTTACAGTAATGACTCTGTGTAGAGGAGAGTGGGAGGGGTCTTTGTGTGTTGCTGTGCTGCCTGTCAGCAGGAACTGAGTACACTGAAAACTGTCAGTGTAAATTGTTTTTTTTAGGAACCTGTTGATCAATTTATACTTAGAGTTCAAACACAAGAGCTCTACTGTTAACCCAGTTGAGTTATTTAAGTAAGTGTGATGACCTTTTATAATAATCAGAGGTTGAATACACAATGGGAATGACTTGAGAATCCTGCTACTGAGACACAAACCACTAAACAAACAACAAACCACTTTCTACAATTATTCCTCATTATTTTCAGTTCTAGCTTATTGGAAATTGGAATCATGTGCGACTGTGCTTAACCTTGCTAAGATGTAGGTATATATATTTAATGAATGTTCACTACCTTGCACTGGTCTTTCACACAAAATTATTGATGTTATGTTGTACAAAGTGTCCAATAATCTCAGGGCTCACCTCAGATAAACTTGTGTAAATTTAGGAAAGGACTTCGATGGTTTTAAATCCAGTTTCTGTGCAATACATTTTAAAATATAGATGAATAATAAAGAGGTTTAATATTATGTTTTATCTTTTTTCTGCTATAGCAAGGTTCTTCTACTTTAAACAAGCAGCCCTACTTCTAAAGGCTGCCACTCAAACGAGAAGTGCTGGGTGATGTCACACAGTGCACCGTTGTCAATTATTCTTATTTAGTAATATTTGTGCAATTTAATTTTCTTAATCATTTTCTTGTAAATTGTCAGTTATTTTTTTCATACTGTGCTTTTTTGTTAATTAAAGCTTTATTGATAATAAAGTGTGTTTAGTCATTAATTTTATACAAGCATATTAAAATGACTTGGGGCCTTGAGTTTAGGCAGATTATCAGGCATTGGGCCCCTGGGCACACAAATGCAAAAGCCCACCCCCGCCTCCCACCACCTCTTCTACATAAGAGCAAGACACACACACTTTACAGTTGTTAAGTCTTTTTTGTGTGTTGCTCTTTTGCATCTCTTTGTGGTTTCAATTTCAATTTTATTTATAAAGCCCAATATCACTAATCACAATTTGCTTCAGAGGGCTTTAAAGCATATGACATCCCTCTGACCTGTGGACCCTGGCAGCGGATAAGGAAAAACTTCCCAAAAATCCCCTTTAACAGGAAATAAATGGTAGAAACCTCAGGAAGAGCAACTGAGGAGGGATCCCTCTTCCAGGACGGACAGACGTGCAATAGATGTTGTACAAAATAACTACTAATAACTACTCTCTTTGTAGTTGTTTTGTGTGACTTTAGGGTAATTTGGTCGTTTTGTGTCTCTTTGTGGTTGTTTTGCTCCTTTTTCTAGTTATTTTGAATGTCAGCTCAGTACATTTTAATTTAAGTGACATTTTGTGGATGAGGGCCAGGGGCCCCTCTTACACTTTGGGCCCCAGGGCCTGTGCCCATTCAGTAGGCCCATTCAGTAATCCTTCAATGGCCTTGAGGCTTTATAAAGAGAGCTGGTGATGGTTTGGGTTTGTGGGAGCCCCAATGTAAGGTGTTGCTTAGGGCCCCAAAATGTTAAGAAACGGCCCTGGTCCCACGCGGACATTAAGATTTTAAATCACCAAACCTAATCAGGTATTCGGTCATAGCAATGTACACACTGTGGCAAGATGATCTGTGTGATTTGTTGTAACCTTCAGGAGATTTTCACACGTTTGTGTTCCTTTAGGAGGATTTTTATCAGCAATCTGGTATCCGGGATTAGCGCCCATTAAACCATTACACAGTCTGTAGTCTAAGAATAAATTTGCCACAATCTGCTGCTGTTTGGGTTGCGGTGGAATAGGAGGGTCCACGGTGCGGTGGAAGTGAAGTAGCAGGCGGGGTGGCACAGCAGTCGAGGGCAGGGCGGCACAAGGAAGGAACGCTGCCTTGGAGCGCGGCGTGCGTACCGAAGGGACGCGTTGATTGACAGTCGGAGGCACGGAGCGCCCTGTGCGGCACACAAGCCGAGCACGCTAATCTCCCCGTACCCGTCTTGTCAAAGGCATCTCTGTGAAATACCAGCCAGATCAGCCTGGCGCAAATAAAGGAGGCTCTATCCATCCCCTGGGCTTGGTGTTTGGAGTCTTCTCGCCGATTCAACGAAAAACAAAAAGCAACGCGGCAGCACTGCGACCCTATCCCATCCCGTCTTTACCTGTTCGGTCACAACTGGACACAGTCTGGACTAACCTGGCGTCTTAAAGTATCCTGGACACGGGAGTGGATGGACAAAAAGCTCAGGTTGCACTTTGCAGTCTGAGCCAAAGAAGATTTTGTCGGTTCCTTTTTATGGAGTAAAAAGACTGCGCCCGTTGCTTTCGGGATCCTCTTTGGGGTTATTTTTTGTTTTTGTGAAATCCAACATAATTGTGATGTGTTTGTGAGTCAAGTTACAAACCCTGGAGCCGGTAAACACCCCTTTTCATTATTTTTAAGTGGAATAACGGGCAGATTATCAGGAGACTCGGGAGGAATTTTGGTGCGTAAACTGTGCGGTGTGTGCGGTTGCTGAGCCGCAGAAGTAGTTGTGCCTCCCTTCTTTTCTTACGTTTAATACCCAGTTTTCCCATGGAGTAGGCTAAAACACAGGTTAAGACTTTATAAAAGGATCGGGTTTATTCTCTGTCGCCTGGAACAAACAGGCGGATCTGATGCGCAGATTCTCCGTAGGATGGTAAATGACCAATGGGGAATCATGAACAGCTCTTCTGAACTCGAAGATGGGACTCGGCATAAAAACCAGGTATGTACACACAATCTACAGTAGCGCTGTGGGTTTATGAGGAGTGGTGCATCTGCTTGGCGCAGTGTTACCACGCCGAGTTTGATAATGTGGCTCTCGGGCGAATCTCTGCACTGTAGACAGTCGCTGCTGCACATGAGCTTTTCTCCGACTCCCCGGGCACTGGCACTTCTGTTCCTGTCATAATGTCTAAACCCACCCGCAGATCACACAGTCCCCGTGGCTAATTGTGTTTAGCGTGACACGACGGTTCAATGTGTTAGTTATGCTACTTGGCATACAAATGGATGAAGTGGCGAGAATGGTGGTAAAATCACGGCAGAAATGTGTGCGTGAAAAGGCGGAGAGTTGCGCATCTCAGCTGCACCTCCAGCAGATATTCTTAAATTTCCCTCCCATGTAAGCCTGGGCTGTACTTGAGCTGAATGTCTATAAATCGCATTTGTGTCGTTAAGAGTGCTGAAACATGGCACACAGGCACCCTCCAATAGCTATTAACACTCCAGAGCTCTTTAGGCCAGTCGGATGAATTGAGACAGGAGCGGACGTGCGTTGTGTTGCAGCCAGGCAAAGCTCACTTTGGGGAATAGTCAATGTTTCACAAGGTCAGTAGAGGGCTATTGACAGCCCGTGAGGGAGAGGGCTCCCCTGGAACACACAGAATCGGATTTCGGGCAGCGAGAAAGCTTGGCGCCTTTGGAAACACACAGAATGATTTTACCCTTCTTATCCTCTTACCTGTGAGGATGGATTTGGTTATGATGCGACATCAGTGAGAAATGAAAGGTGCTGATGTGAAAACTTCATCGGGGCCATTGCAAAAATATTTTGACACAGGGGAGAAGTGTCAGGGATGTCACAGTTTTGGCACAGGGACCGTGCACTTTTTAATAACTACAAATTACAAGGGCGTAGGTTTCATTTCAACATTGGGGGCGTGGTTTTGGGGGGGCACTTCTATCAGGGAAATTGAAAGCATTAAACAATTTACTGCATTCTGGTAATTTTTAGGCACCAATCTGTGCCCCTTTGGCATCAATTTATGGTGTAAATGTCTTAATTCTGTCCAAAAAGTTTGAAGGGTAGACGCAAATGCATATGTTCTAAATATTAATGGGGATGTGTCCCCTGTATCCCCCCAAAATCTATACCTTTAACTCATTAATTTACTGACTTAAAAAAGATAACAGTTTGTTCCCCCACCCTTCACCACAGTGTTAACAACAGCAAAATGGCTTTCTTGAACATATACTATGTCTTTGCTGTCAGTTGTTCTTTGACTCCAAACTAATTGTAAGTACATGGGCTGTGTCATTCAGAAGCCATTGGTTAGAAGGAAGCATGCTCTTGGCACATTTCTTGTAATTGACAAAGCTCGACAGTCAGACGATACGTGGCTTCCTGTCTCATACCTCAGCTGATGTCATGGCTCAGGCTGAGTCATTTACATGGTGGCGTTCTGAATTGGGCCTCTACTGTCTAAGGTACAGTTACATTAGCAGCATCCATTAATGCAAGCCTGTGGTTAATTTTTCATACGGTTAGCTGATGTAACCTCTGAACTTGGAGGTGGAGCAGATCAATGACTAAAAGGGTATGACCAACATTTTGCCTGCAAGCTGCTTTGCCTCTTTTACATCCACTTAAAGGTCATGCAAATCACAAATATGCCCGTCATGGTTTTTAATTTGATGATGAAACACCAGAGTGTCTGTCTCAGATCAGTTAACTGGCCAGAAAAAAAAACATCTGTTCAAGGAAAATGATACCCAGTGTGATTAATTTTGATTCTTATTCATTTCTGTGTTCCTGAAGGAAAAAAATCCAAATGACTAAATGAAGCTCTTATATGCTGAGTGGTAAGCCTGGAGGATGAAAAGGCAAAGCATGTCCCACAACCCCAACACTCGCCCCGGATCAGACAGCATCGGGGAGGGAAGGTGGGGGGGGGGTGTTTGATGAGATGAGAGGTTGTGGGAAATGGGGATGGCTAATGCTGCTATCTGTCCCTCTCCTCCCTACATCTATCTGTCTCCTTCTTCTGCGCTTGTTATTTCGCTATCACACACAGACACACATAAATACTCTCTCACTGCGTGTCAGCCTGTCTCTCTCTGTAATCTTGAGCGGCAACACCAAACCTTTATCTCCAGCCTTGGTGCTATTGACACAGTCATTTCAGACCCAGTGGGGGGAGGGATCGGGTAATAGAGATCTCTTGTGGTCTGTGTTTATTTTGATATTACAAAACGTGGCTCAGTATTTGTCTGGTAACTCTGCATATTTGATTTGTTACCGTAGGTGTGCTGTCACCCATGCACTTTCACAACAGATGGAGGCCGGTTAGAGTAAAACGGGGATTCGAGTGCAACTTAAAAACAGCCTTGAGATCTAACTCACTGGATAACAGGCAGCAGAGGCAGAGGCTATACATGATTAGATAGGCTATTAACTTGTGTATATAAAAATATGACACTTCATAGAAACAAAATGGCTACCATGAGCTATAAGTAGATAGAACTGTGAAAACTCCCACACAAGGTTCTGGTAATGAAACAACGAAAGTTGAGGTGAGTCAAGGTTGCCACTTGCCATTGTCACCTTTCAACTGAAGGGTGTAAAAATGTGTTAAAGTTCTTATAAAATGGCTTTTTTTTTCTTCAAGATTGCTCTGAGAAAAAAAAAAACCCGTAATTCCACACAGGAAACAAACATCAAGGGATGTAATATTGTGCTGTAAAAACACCAATATTGATTTTTGGGGGAATGCTAGCTAGATTTCTTATAGGGCCGTTTCCATGGCATCATTCTTACATCAGCCGTGAATCAAGTTAGAGCAACTAGTCTTACGTCCTAATTTAAAATCTTAAATGTGATATATGTATGCACACACGTTTGACAGCTATATAGTCAATTTCATCTCTTTTTTTTTTTACCCCACATGGCCCATGCATGCACGCACACACATACACACACACGCACATATAGCTGAGAAGTCAGCGAGGCCCAATGGAGTTGCCTACTTAGATTGTCGGCAATCAATAACACTCTGAGAAGTCCAAACTTTCCAAAGCACTGAAAGAACTGTTTGTATATGGGTAGAATACCGTAGAGTACAGCTGTGCCTTACCATCTTACACATTGAGATGGACACACACACATTGCACTTAAAGACATTTATACATTACAGACAAGCTTCACTTTCAACGCAAACAGATCAAAGTCACAGACTCGCATCAATACGTCAGCAAATCACCAGACTACAGTCAGGATGTTTATGTATCTCCAACACATCGGCCACAAAGCTGTAAAAAGGAGGAAGGTTTGCCTTGAGAGCACACACACTGCAGGCCCACATCTATCAGAAACACACTCGGCAGCAGCCCACCTCAGAAATTATATCAGGCTTGCATGACAGCCACAACACACACACACGCACACACACACACACACACACACACACACACACTAACATCTCTGCCAGGATTTATCAGTCTGCACTAACTCACTTTAATACTCCTTGCCCCCACATGTGGTAACTGTGGCACATCAGGCAGAACCTAGAAGGCTTGACCATCCTTCATGCACGCATCTTTCTGCATATATTCATAATAAGGACTTAAAAATTTGTGGAAAATATCTAATTGCAGTTTTTCTAACCAACATTGCAATTTAAATTATCTTCTATAAAGTAAACGAGACCATACCAAGCAGAATAGAATCAGAGTCCCAAAGGGTAATGCACTTGTTTGATGTTGAGGATGTTGTTTTTCTACAAACCAGTGAGCTCAGTTTTCTACACAAACATTGACTAGTTCTTCTTTATTAAAGCTGTAGTTGGTAAGTTTCATAAAAATAACCTTCTGTCATATTTGCTGAAACTATCACTTTGATTACACAGTATACTACATGAGGCAGATAATCTGTGAGAAAAAAATCATGTTCTTCCTCCTCATGGTGCTTCTAATGGAATATGCAAGAATCCACCGACCAATCAGAGTCGAGGGGTCTCTGACGCAGCTGTCAGTCACTGCTCTGGTCAAACTGTCAAACTAGGCAGCGCTCATCAAATATGAATCAAATTTCTGTTACTGCATTGCCTGTTTCTTGCCCACCAGCCCCAGCCGACTTTCTCATTTTACAGCCAAACACTTCACCAAAACATGTTTATGAACTCACTCGAGACGAGACATAGGCAATGCAGCAACACAATCTCAATTCATATTCGATCAGCGCTGCCTAGTTTGACAGTCTGACTGCAGCTCACGAGCAGTGATTGACATGATAGACAGCTGTGTCAGAGACTCCCTGGCTCTGATTGGTTGTTTACCAACAGCTGAGGTAGATTCGAGCAAATGCCACTAGAGATACTATGAGGAAGCAGAGGAAGATGATTTTGTCACAACTTCTGCCTTGTGTACTCCTGTCTGGGTATAGAAACAATTTCAGCAAACATGAAAAGTTACCCACTACAGTTTAAAGGAGGGTATTACATCAAACAATTTAAAGTGGCGTTGCATTTATTGGTAACGGCTGCATGGTTGGCCACCTATGATAACACTACCAAACTGCTGGGAAGTTGCATCTGCCTGTGTTTTTGATATCAGACATGCAAAATGTTAGCTTAACAGACTGAAGGTCTGAATCCTGGAGGTCCAGATTTATAGTTTTTTTTATGGACAATAAAAACACCCAGGCCTCTCTTTATTTTATCAGACATAAAAAAAATGATACAAAGTGCTGCTCCTTCCTTAAAAGCATCTCTGGCCAAGTTTAAATTTACAGACACCAGCGTGCCAAGAGCAAGCATATTTACTGCACAACAGCCAAGATCGCTTTTTTTGTTGTTATGCCAACTAAAAGAATTAACGTTAATTAATTATAAGTGACTAAATTTGCATGGTGTCATTATTACCGATGAAATCAACAGCTGCAGGCTTCAACTTTCACTTGCTGCAGCTTGTTAGGGCACAGTTATGTAAATTGTGAATAATATGGCA